CGCAGGGAGCCCCACGACACTAGTACTGACGCGACACCACGAAGCAAAGTACAGTAGGGCAGAAATATAATAGATTTAAGTCTACATAGGTACATACCAATGCGAGGCTATGACAGTCATCGTCATCATCATCATCTTATCCATGGTCCTATTCATTGCCACCTCTCTTCGAGACGTTCTGAGGCCACAAAGGCCACGCACAGTGCGGTGCCCGCAGCGAACCCAAAGATGCTCGTTGAGCTCGTGGACCCTTAAGCGCCGATGGGGTCCTTGTGTTACATTCAGTCGATTTGGTATTCTGGAAACCTGGGACTCACGCATTCCGATTTCGGACAAAGCGCCCTTCACACGTGACACTTGCGGACTTTGACCGGGGCCAGGCCATATCCTGTTCGGCTGTGCTTGGGAAACAGTGCTGCGCACGCCGGGCCAAAAAACGAGAAGATTTGCATGGCAAGATACAGTTCCAGATTGGTATGGGGAAAATTTGTAGTGAAAGACAGCCTTCAAGTTACAAGCCGCAGATTTTAGGCGACCGTTCCGTAAACGGATGTCGGTAGCAGTGCACCAAGTTGGCTCCGAAATTAGGTCGATTAATACTCAGGAATATCACAGAAGCGCTTCCACAGTTCCTGAATATTTGTGCGGATGGTCAAAGCAGAGGAGACGAGACAAGCGCTTTTTGCGCGGGATATAGATATTCATTCAATATCACTTCTCTTTTGTACACTTATCACATAAATAATAAAAACTATTGTAAGCAGTACGTTAGTTAACACTAATATTAATATTGAGACATCATGCATACTGATCAGGGACTTTGGATTTCTCACAGCAGCTAGTTCTAATGTAGTACATATACGCAAAAATATAACTATAATAAGTCTAGGGGCTGTATGCCGCGCGCCACGAGGCTCTCGGCACGTTCCGCAATGCTTATCGCCAAGCTTTCTCACTGCCAACCAACTCACGACTAGCGTCCTGTACCAACCCCCTGTCTATAACATGTGCTGTGCGGTGCTAAATGTTGGAATGTGTCGCCGAGATTCTAGACGGTAAAATTGGGACTGAGTGAGTTTTTAACGGCCTTTTGGTCCCTACTCGTTCTCACGATTTTTTTCTTCTAGATTCCACTGTCTTCACGCGTATTGCGTACTCATTGCAACATCTTCGAAAGTAAAGGTCACTTTTCACGTACTCCCTTCGACCGACAAGGACGAAGTCTGCGTACCTGTCAACGTCCTCGTCTTCGACGCCAGGAACCAGCCTTCGTACAAACCTTCGTCCGCCTCCACCGTAACGTCGTGTCGCGACTCTGAGTCGCTATTAGCTGTTTCCATTCAGCTCACGGTCATTGAACTATTATAAGCCCACGGCTCGTCTTTTCTGCCAAAATTGCGAGCGCCCTCGGCTCCGGATCCTCGAAGCAGGACACTCTCTCGCCGGCCGAGCGGAAGAAGTTTTACTGGCAAGACAAGCTCGCGCCAACCTTTGTAGTTACATGACAGGATTACATCATGTGGTTGTCCTGTTTGGGGACAATCAGCGGGATGCGAGGCAGCGAGAGTATGCCGCGGCGATGAGGAGTTGGAGAGTCCACGCGCGTTAGGTGAGTCAGATGCTTTCTCCACAGTATTACGTGGTTTGATAAGATCGTAGATCATCGTCAGCGGCGTCGCTAGTGGCGTCGATCCGCGTCAGAGCGAACTCGACGACCTTATACGAGGATGACACATTGTCTCCACAGGTCAGCCTCGGCGTCCCATTCCTCGTCTCTGCTCTCCGTTCCCATCTCGGGCCCGACAAGCCTTCACGTTTTGGTACGGCCTATTCTCCACGATCAGGCACGTACCATGTCGCCATCGCCGAAGCCGAGTGTCACAGCTGGACGATCCCGCGTCGGAACATCGTGGTTTACACTTCTAGAGGGAATAAAAGAAGCGAAGACAAAAAGATAGAACACAGCTGTGCTTGTCCAGAAAGGTCGCATCGGTCCGACAGCGGACGCTAGCAAAGTCTGACAGTCGGTAGACATTCTTCTGCTTGTCGATATCACCAAACGCTGGACGACCAAGCTTTCCAACGCACGCCCGAGCTATCGAATGTCAACGATTGGTGCGTGTCTTGTTTATGTCATATTTATCTTCGAACGACGGCAGAATGAAGATACTTCTCAACGGCGCACTGACGACCCTAAGGGGAAGTATGAGGTGCAAACGAGTGGCAGTAGCTCTACCGACTGCTTGCATTCGCGTGTTTGACATCCGATGAACTAGACTCTGACTGGCATTGCTTTTCAGGGTAAGAGGACGATACGAAGGAGGACGGCGGCTATTTCAAAACGTGGCTGTGAGATTGCAATGGTGCTCAGGCTATTTCCAATCGTTTCCCTGTATAGTTCGTATAGCCATCGTCCATCCAACCGGTTCCTGGCTATGTGCCCATAAAGCGCCGCTATAGCTAATTCAAGTGAGACACACTCTGCACGGATCCTAAATAGAAGTTAAGTCAGGATCAGTGCATAATCTAGGAACAAATAGGTGTAAGCGCGATGCGTATGAAGCTGGCAGTTGAGGATAGGCATAAACACAATAGAACTAACACTGCAGCGTCTCCGACGCCCATAACCCTGGTGTCTGGTGGTCAGCGACGGAGACTGTTTATTACAAAATGGTTTATTATATATGCGGCAACACGATAACGTTCGTACCAGGTCATCTTGTGCAGATGCCGAAGATGAGCTCGTGGCATGGATGAGACTCCGTGCTGAGAATCCAAAGATTACGGTATGCGAGCTGTCGCACTACTGAACTATGTCTCATAGTTGCTCCCTAGCAATTGAGTACCACACGTGCACAACGAATGAGTTAAGTTGAACCAGGCAATCACTTCTTGGAAGTTAGGGTATCGTAACCTGAAGCTCAATGACGAGAAGAAGTTACGGACGAACGCAGAAGCGCCGTAAGTGACTCTCACAAAGCGACCCAGAAATCAAAGAGTAAACAGTCTATATGAATTGCTGTACATAACTTAGCGAAGCTCCTGTACTCGGGAGCACCTGTACACATGCAGCATCGAGCCGAGCATACCACCGAGAACATGCAGTGATTAAGGAAGCCGCTCTATGCTCTGCCAAGCAATCCGCCAAATCATCCCAATCATTAGTGGATGGTGTCCTCCCAAGCACCACCGAAGAGCCCTGTAAGAATATAACGGTCAAGATCGTACCGCAGACAAATAAGAAGGACGTACAGAAGTTAAGCGTGGACTTCGACTGAAGAACGCTGCCGGGGAAGCACGACTGAGGAGGATGTTAGTCTCTGCTAAAGGGTAACAGGGCTGTGCATCACGTACATTGTTGGGGGCGTTGCCACCGTTCGAGTTGAAGCGGTAGACCTCGTCCGCGAGCTGGCCGTCCTTCTTGCCGTTGACGTACAGGATGGGCTCGTAGAGCCACGGCGAGTTGACTGTGGAGTTCTTCGGGTCCGGGACGTTGCCAGTCTCGGCCGCGACGAGGAACGCGTTCGCCCTGTTCGTGTCGTTGACGTAGCGCTCGGACTTGGTGAAGTCCCAGACCGCGTTGATCTTGCCGTCGGTCGCGTTGTTGGGGTCGGCAATCCAGTAGTGGAGACCGAGCGCGGTGCCAGGGTTGACCTGTTCGAAGAGGTCGATTATCTGCTCGTTGGACACGGTCGGGGGCGCGGCATCCCAGAGGGCAGCGATGAACGAGGTGAACGGCGCGTGGTGCATCTGCGGCAGGCACGAGATGTCGAACAGGAAGGTGTATCCACCGAGAGGGCTGTGAAGTACAAGAGACGTGATCAGATTAATTCAGTAGCAGACGACGCGAACATGGACGAACCCCCAGGTGCTATCAGCTCCGCAGGTGTAGTTCTGCATGCCAACGGAGAGTGCAGTGTACACCGGGTAGGTGGTGTTCGGCTTCGGGAGAGGCGCACCACCGTCGTTGTTGATGTCCGCGGGCAGCTCATTGGCGAGGATGAACTGCTTGGTCCCGCAGATCGACCCGCCGGTGGGAGTAGAGTTCGCACGGCGTTGGAAGCCGAACGACTCTGCGGAGGGGAATGCGTTGACGAGGGCCAAGACGGAGAGAGCAGAGAACAACTTCATGAAGGCGTACATGGCTGCTGAGTCTGCCTTGGAGAGAATGCTCGGAGCACTGAGGAATTCCGATGATCCCGCCGTGCTTTTATACCCCAGAGACGGGCCCAGAGTGTCCAATCAGTCTTGCGCAACTCCAGAGAACATCAGGACATCAAACAAACATACGCGACCTTCGCCCATTAGGGCAATACAGCAAAGGAGCGCGGCGGAGACAAAGTGGGCGGGGACCCGAAATCAAGGGAGTTGAGCGCTCAAAAATACGCGAGAGCTGTGCCGACGTTGCCCTCCGAGTCCCGTCGTCGGATCGCAGTCCGTTGTAAGCCGAAGAATGATTGACCTGCACCCTGGCTAGGACGTCAATCCCGCAGTTTCATCCCTGAGGAAGTCAGAGGACAGGTGAATGGATCGACTTACACCACCCTGGTATTGGGCCCCAGCATACACGATAGTTCGCTCGAACCCATCGTCAACGTCGCTCGAAAATCCGCGGAGTTTTTGCGAAGATACCGCTTGAAGCACCGCTGACGTAGACGAGGGCAAAAAACCTCGTCCATGAAAAAGGCGACTAGTTTGCCCCCCGAGCCCCTGCCCGATCACCCTAGAACGCTGCGTGCGACGACGAATCAACCGAATGAGCATCGCCCATAACGTCAGAAGACCTTGAGCTGCCAGAAGTCGGCCCTAACGGGTTTTTGAACGCTAATTATACATCAGGTTCACTCAGAGCCCTTGCTGGTCGGACGAGGAGCGGAGACCACCGCGCCTCGGTCCGTTGGTAAGGCGGACGCGGCCGCGCACGCCGTGCCGCCAGGGTGGAGCGCATGCGGTACCGCCTGGACTCGAGGTCTACCCGCACTACGCAATGTACCCCAATATAGTTTTGCGGCGAAGGAGCGAAGGGGCGGGGGATTGGCGTCATGGTCGTTACCAAGTAAGCCCGGAGAGCGCAGCGCCGGTTGTAAGGCGCCTGGGACATCATCCGTCTCTTCCGGAGCGGCCCAGAGGTACAATTGTTGTCAGAGTTGCTTGCAGTGAGAAGCACTGAGAGACGAGAAAAAAATAGTGCAAGCCTTTTGCCAGCTTGCGCGTTTGGCCAGTGTCCCTCAGGTACAAGTTGAGGCGCAAATGAGCAGCAATAGCTCCACTGACTGCCTTCGTCTCCGGCGCATACCCGGCGTCCTCTTCCGTGATCTTTCATTGTATAGAGGATGGAGTGCGCCAGAACATTGCACCAGCGTGCAGGTTTCTCTGCAAAATATTCCAGCTCAAAGTTCGCCCTCTTTTCGTACATCCTAAACTCGCCCTGAACATGAACCAGGGTGGCGACTACTGGTCGACTTCTCGTAAGAATTGTGATGCAACCTAAAGAGTCAAAAGAAAATGAAAGAAGTTCGGCGCGTCCGGCACGGAACGGGGCGCTATATACTGGCACAGGCCTGCGCTAATTCGAAGCTCGCCCCTGCCTTGGCAAAGCAAAGCACCGCCACGTCCCATGCCGGACACGCCGAAGTCTTTCGTTTTCTCCTAGAGCTTGTCCTAGAGTCGCAATAGGATCCGTATAAAAATATAGAAAGCCATGAACTTAGGCCGTAACGCGACAGAAAATTTGTGGTGGCAAGTGATCAAGGAAAAACTAAAGACATAAATTGGACGCGCATTGAACGTTGAACGTCTGCCGACGATGGTTGCGCTTGCACCTAGTAAGTGGCCGTAGAGTTCATAGAGGCGTTAGCAGCGAGAGGTGCTATGGGACTTGATGCATATCGTAATATCAACAAAGTATAGCCACCTGGCGAAATCGCATTTCATCTGACTACGATCGAGTACTGCAAGTTCGACCCCCGCGACAGCTGCGATTCTATCTCGTCATTTCTCACTCTTCTCGCCTGAGACCTTTATGCGGGAGGGAGACATGGGAAGACTGCTCAAGAGACGAAACTATCTCTCTTTCCGCTTTTTGTCGGCCTTAGTGGTTCCAGCTCATGGTGAGCATTCTTATGGTACTAGAGCAAGTCATTGAAGCCACCTTCGGACGGGATGAAAGGGCGATCTCCCCTACAACCTACGAGGAGACTTGCGAGAGGCTCCCTCGAGCAAATATTCCCAAATAGTAGGACCTATCGCAAGGCGTTGAGTCAGTCGACAGCTGCTACGCCTCCCGACGCCGCCTCCGTGATGCCGGGATTGCTTTGAATTCTAACACGACCAAATAAACTTTGAACTCACACCGGCCGCGTCGTGCAGGCGCGCCGCGCGACTGTCACTGTTCAGCTAACGGGGCAGTTACTTGGCAAATGCCGGATAATGATCAGTTGACGCGGGTAATGGCCTAGGTCAGGTCAATAGACTGCTTACTACATATAACCAGCCAGTCGCGCCAGGTCGACGAAAGCCGGTAGTCTGCGCAGCGAGCAAACAGGAACATATTGACCGGGTATGCATATCCACACAAACTAGAGTCCTAGAATATATGTTAGGTGTTCTATCTTGATTCGAGACTGTTGTCGAGCGTGATCTGCGGATCCATCAACGAGCTACTGGCCAGCGAGATCTCCGGCAGCTCCTTCTCGGCGTCCGGCCTTTCGGTTCCCATTAGCAGTTCCCAAGCAAGGTACTGCACCATGAAATGAAGCTAAAGTTATTTCCGAGACGCAGCGCATTGCTGCCGTCCAGTAGGGCGGGATTCAGCGCCAGGTTGAAGGTTCAAACGTTCGCTGTCAATGAATGCTGTGCGCGCGCCGCCGTCAGCTTATATAGGCATTGACATCCAGCTTCGAAAATCCGCAACCAGTGGCACAATCACATCTGGAATTTGAAAGCTCGTCTCCTCCGAGATTAGCTCTCAAAGGGCCAAAGCCCTTCAGGTTGCCGCCATCTGGGTCTGCTGAGACGTTCGTTTTGACGGCCAGCGCGTTTCGGGACAGGCCTGGGGGTAGAGCCGACGCGCGTTCCACCTTCAGATGTCTATGTAACGAGACCCGCCAGTTTTTGGGTCTTCTTGGGCTTCTACCGGTTAAAAACCCAGCGTGAATGTGACCGACGTGGCTTGAACATGTGCGCTTGGAGCCGCCAACGCTCGGGATCGCGCTGCGCACAAATCCAGCTTCTTTGTGGATTACAGGAAAAGCTACCCAGGCATGTGCATATTGAGTATAATGCAGAGATACAGTACCAGAGGACCTGACACGAAAGTTCAAAGCAGAGTGCAGAGCTGAGAGATCCATAGGAAATTCAGCGGAGAAATGATAAAAATTCAACAAGCGCCGAAATGTCATATTAAGGGTCGCGTGCCTGCTTATCTAATCTGACCGTGGGTAACTTACCCGGTCAATGACCCATTTGAACTTGTGACTTAACCCGTAGAACACTAGAAGCAGGCAAAAAATGAGCGCTGAGCCCTGGGAATTTCATATACGAAATTCTGTCCAAACCAACGATGAGTATGCTCATGTCTGTATATCGCAACCATCCAGATTGTCGCAGGTGCCAATATTATACCTGCTTGCACGACTCGGAGTTCACTCGCAACAACAAGTAATATGTACAGTAGGCTCGTCCACACCGGTTTCTTGTCCAAATGAGATACGCTCAAGATGCACCATAGCTAACGAGTCTAGGTAAGTACAACCAAAACTCGGGCTAAAAGGTTTTAAGCAAGTCTTGATAGTTAGCAGCCTGAGGTCCGTGACATCGCTCCATTCAGCATCCTGAGAAAATGCGGCTCGCATGAATCGCCGACGACGTACGCCGATCAGTGAGTGTCATTGTATTGAAAATTGGCGGATAAGGATTTGCTGACAGTATATAAACACCAGTGCTTACCGGAAATCGTCAATTTACCCTGTCCGTGGACCATGTCTTTGCTTCCTCCTTATGTGGCCCTGCAAGACTACAAGCTAATCATTGCCGCAACCGGCTTGGTGGGTATAGGATCTACATGGTGTTCTTCACTTACCGTTGACCTCGCATATGCGCTTACAGGCTTCGTACTTCGTTTTCAAGCGGTATGAGCCCTCAACGATGGCACCAGTGCTTCTCATACTTTGTGGTGTCCCCATAACGCTGGCTTTCGCTTTGCGAGGCAACTTCAACAACTTGGCAACCGCGACAGCTGCTGTTCCCGCAACCTACTGGGCTCTATTGACCGTTTTTGTCGTCATCTATCGCGTATCGCCGTTCCACCCCTTGGCTCGCTATCCTGGCCCATTGCTCTGCAAGCTCTCCAAGGGCTGGCTCATGTATTACACCGGCAGCACTGGGAAGACTTACGCTTACATCCATCAGCTACATCAGCTGTACGGCGACGTAGTTCGTATTGGTGAGCACAATTGTATGCTTCCGCCTTTTTACATGCTTATCTAATGTCTTCCAGGTCCTAATGAACTGTCTATCAGGCACAAGGATGCTTGCGTTGCTGCAGTGGGACCTAAAGGTCTTCCCAAAGGACCTTGTGAGCGCTGGTACCGTATATAACCATTGTATTTGACGTTGAGCTCCTCCCTCCCCCCAATTCTGTAGATTATGATACTCGCCTATACGATGGGGAACCAAGCCTGGAAGGCATTCGTGACCCGGCCTTGCATGCAGTCCGGCGCCGCCCGTGGACGCGGGCCATGAACAGCGCATCGATGAAGTACTACGAGGAGCTGATCTATAATACCGTCGGTGACCTTGTCAGCGGTCTCAAGGAGCGCGTTGGCGGCCCTGTGGATATCGCGGATTGGATGTCGCTCTTTGCGTAAGTCAACGCTCAGCACCTTAGAAGGGACATTATTGATTGTAATCGCAGATACGACTTTATGGGACGCATAGCGTGAGTGTACTGCTCGTCCACTGTTGTTCAGCTGCGCGAGCGCTGATTGGCGAGACAGATTCACGTATGAATACAACATGCTCAAGTTGGGCAAGGACACACATGGCCTGCGCCAGATGGTCGAAAACTGTTTCTTGTGAGTGCGAGTCTACGAACTGGCTATCTGATTTTCTCAGTTGGGTCATCTAGCGACCTTCGCTGGATCGCTCACATCCCCTGGTTCATCCCTCTCCTCAAATTTATGCCCGGTGCGGGCAAGGATTTAGATGACCTGAAGGCCGCGGGGACCAAGGTCGCGCTGCATCGCGTGAGCCTGGGCTCGACTCGCCCGGATCTCTTCCATCATTTGGTGCGTATGGCAGTCATACCATAGACAATGTCCATAACTGGGCGTATGTCAGATGGACGAGGATGGTCATGAGCCCACGAAACCTAAACCCGAGATGGTTGTCATCGACGGCACGCTAGCAATCGTCGTAAGCCTTACCCCCAGACTCTAACTTCCTTCGCTCAATGTGTGCAGGCCGGCGCTGACACCACCTCTTCTGCACTAAGCCACCTCTGGGCGCTCTTGCTCCGCGAGCCGGCTTATTTCGAACGCCTGCGCAAGGAGGTCGATGAGGCATTCTCTGGAGCCGACAACATAGATTTTGTCAAACAGGCGAAAATGCCGTACTTGAATGCCTGCCTGTTGAGTTTTATAGGCCTTTGACACTCGAGGTTCAAGCTGATTGGTCCGTTGCAGGAACGAAACACTGCGCCTACTCCCTCCTCTCCTCTCCGGAATTCAACGGCGAGTCGAGCGTGGTTCAGGCGGGAAGATGGTTGGCCCTTAGTATGTCGTGCTCGTATAAATGCTCACCGGCTGCATTCCTGACACCCTTGGTCAGCTACATTCCCGAAGACACCCAGATCTCGCTCGTCTCGTACGCGATCCACCGCAGCATCGATAGCTTCTCGCCGCTCCCAGAGACATTTTGGCCCGACCGTTGGCTTGCTCAGGAGGAGTACACGCTTCCTTCTGGCGAATTAATTCCCGCAGACGATGTGCATACGAACCGTGACGCGTTCATGGCATTCTCGCAGGGCCCGGCGGTCTGCGCAGGCAAGAACGTCGCGCTTGCGGAGATGCGCGCCGTAGTCTGCGCGGTGCTGCGAAACTTCGACATACGCGCCATGGACAAGCGGTGCTTGGACACTTGGGAAGACGAGATGGTTGAGTGCTTCCTCACGAAGACGGGACGGCTGCCCGTGCAGCTGGTGCCCAGGAGCTGAGCACCATGCCAAGTCGTTTGTGCTTCGTTTTCGAGCTCATCTTGTGGTGTCTTATGTGAGCAGCATTGACTGGTTGAGATGCGCAGAAATGACCTTATGGTAGATCATGTTCTTTGTGATGTATTCCAGTTCTATCATGCTCAGCTGTCGTTTAAATCAAGTATATTGACTCATGGCATGTGAGCATCTGCTGCATTACTCGCGTACTGCACGCGTCGTTGACCATGAACGCCACACAGCTCGACGTGGACGGGGAAAAACCTACGACTGTCGTTAAGTGCCATTACGAGGAGGCGAGGCTGGAGGTCGACGCATCCGCACTGGATATCCTGGACCTCATCGTCGTAACATGGATCTACTTGAAGAGACACGCTAGCCGCTTCGTCTGCAGCCTGAAGGGGCTGTTCGTGGTTTCATATATCAGGATTACACATGTATCTAGCAGCGATCGTGTAAATTAGCAAGCCTACCCACCCAATACCGTCATCTACACGCTACCTGCCTTGAAATTCACACAATTGGCCGTAACTTGAACTCGCCGTATGACCCTGCCAATGAACAGCTGAATCTCTCACATCATGGTAGTTGCACAAACGCCGACGATAAAGACTATTCAAGTCACGTTCAATGGTAAAACGACGAACGAGGACACGTTTTTGCCTGGGCACGGCAGGTGAACTTTCGAAAAACTGTGGAGATAGAAGGATGGTGCTCACGAGAGGCGCAGCTCTCGCTCATTCGTCTGCCCTGTCAGCCAGTCTTACAAGTGGAAGACGGCCTGGAACTCAACATGGACATGCCACGTACGTAAACATGTCGCATTGAGTGCTGAGGAGCGGAAGGATGCCCCCGGGCCCGCTGGCTGAGGGCAGTCGGCACCTGCGTTTCTCTCAACAAAAGAATTTCGAAGGTAGAGCGGACGGCACGTAGCTCACTGCTCATTATCGGGCGGGAACTGAGTCAGGTTATCACTTTGAGCCAGTTCGTAATTGTGCAATACAAAGTGAATCGCCCTTTCAGACAGGACGCATGGGTCAGGGATGAACTACCCTGATATTCGACGTGCTAGTGTGAGCCAGGGTGTATTTTGAGAGACCGCTTCTGCACGAATTTGGAGTTTGGAGTTTTGGAGCTGACATGGAGCTGGACAAACAACTAAACGAGATCCTGGAGTCTTCCCGTACAAGCGTTTGCCTAATTGAGTGACTGACAGCTTCACTGACTCCGCTCAGGGCATGGGCGTCGCAACGCACCCGCTTCGTTGCACACCCCGCCAGCTGACCATCTCTTGCCTTTCTCACCTATGGACCTCTGCCTCTAATCGACATATGTCTTAAAGCTAAAATGAGACCAATAAGGTCGAGATATGTTACCAGCAGCCCGGGTAGCATGCTGCCAGATGAGTTGAGTGGCATCTGAGGCGCCGGATCTCCGAAATCTATTGCGGCGGCGGAACAAGTGGAGGCTCCAAGTGTGAATTCAAATGATCCGTGCAGAGGCGGTCTATCGTTTCTTTAGTCGCTGTAAACGGCAGAGATAAGCATAGTCGTCATTCACCTACATAGATTTTGAGGCGTTAGGCCCCGACATGCAAAGTTTCCCAGGTTCGGACCAACGTGAAAACTCCACCGGTCATCTGATCACCTTCTGCTCGCGTCCGCGTTTGCAAAGTTGAACAGCTTCGCGATCTTCCCTACCAGCACGTCCAAAATCTCGTCATTCGTTATCACGCCACCCTTCAGAGTCGCCTGCAGGAGCTCAGAGCGCAGGAAAGGTGCGGCATGTATTCGTACCGTTCGGTCTTAGATATGCTACACACTGCTCATTCCCTGGGCACCAGCCGCACAGGCAACCGTCCAGTCTTTGTGACGAAGAACTCGACCATAACGTCTTCCCACGCGTTCAGGCATCGCTCGTCCGCAACGTGTACGTCAAAGTGCTGCAGCACCGAGCAGACGACGGCGCGCATCTCGGCGAGCGCGACGCTCTTGCCTGCGCAGGCCATTGGGCCCTGCGAGAATGCCGTGAACGCGTCGCGGTTTGTGTGTACCGCGTCTGCTGGCAGTGTCTCTCCCGAGGGCAGCGTGTACATCTCCTGAGAAAGCCAGCGGTCCGGCCAGAACACGTTCGGGAGCGGCGAGAAGTTATCGGGGTTGCGGTGGATGGTGTACGCGATAGGCGATACCTGGGTTCCTTCAGGAATAAAGCTAGATAACGATATCAGAGATGACATTCCGTTTTTGCAAAACGGGACATACTAGGGCCCAACCATCTTGCCCCCTGTGCCTGGTTCAACTCGTCTCTGCAGGCCCGCCAAGACAGGAGGGAGTACACGCAATGCCTCGTTCCTGCGCAGACACAATCAGCTGCGTTCAGGATTTCAAAACGGTATGACACTCAAACAGGCAGGCATTCAAGTACGGCATGTTCGCCAACTTGGCAAAATCAATGTCGTCTCCCAGAGAAAACTCCGCGTCGATTTCCTTGCGCAGGCGCTCGAGACAGGCCGGGTTACGGAGCAAGAACGCCCAGACATGGCTCATTGCAGTAGCAATAGTGTCGGCTCCGGCCTGCGAGCGTGTGAGCAAATGAGCGAACATAAGTAGCAACGGGGTTTACAATGATTGCCAGAGTGCCATCGACTGCGACAACTTCGAGCTTTGGTCTGACGGCCTCGTGGCCATCTTCGTCCATCTGGCACGTATGTTATCACAGAATATGTTTCAGAATGTAAGACCGCAGCACGCACTAGATGATGAAAGAGATCCGGACGGCTCGAGTCCAGGTTCACGCGGTGCAGCGCAACTTTGTCGCCTGCAGCTTTCATGTCATCCCAGTTCTTGCTTGCGCCGGGCACGAGTTTGAGGAACGGAATAGCCCAGGGGATGTGAGAAATCCAACGGAGATCTCTAAGATCGTCAAGATAAGCGAGGCTGGATAGTTATCTTCGTGGATACACTCACAAGAGAGACTTCACGATCATCTCATGAAAACCGTGCGTGTCCCTCCCCTCTTTGAGATTGTTGTAGTCGTAGGTGAACCTGCTCTGTCAGTGAGCGCTAGCAACGCCGGCTAAGGGATAAACTCACGCCATGCGTCCCATGAAGTCGAGTCTGTGATCATATAATCAATGCGATGTGCGAGTGTGCCCTGTAAAGTCGCAGCTCACCCAAAAAGCGACATCCATTCTGCAATGTCGACGGGACGGTCAACGCGCTCATTGAGACCGCTGATGAGGTCGCTGACGGTTTTCCGGATCAGCTCCTCGTAGTATTTCGTCGACGCGCTATTCATGGCCCGTGCCCAGGGACGACGCCGAACGGTATGCAATGCCATGTCGCGGAGCCCGTCGAGGCTGACTCCCGAGTCGTGTATGCGCGTATCGTAAACTATGGAAACTCAGATCAGTCTCGAGTGGTGACTATAGCCGGTACCAGCGCTTACAAGGCCCTCTGGGAAGACCCTTCGGTCCCAGAACTGTGGTACAGACGTCCTTATGCCTGATAGACAGCTCGTTCGGACCTACAAATGGCTGTATCAGAACGCGAAGGGATAAGCCTACGTGAGAGCTCACCAATCCGGACCACGTCGCCATACAGCTTGTGCAGCTCGTGAATGTAAATGTATGTCTTCCCTGTGCTGGCGGTCAGATACATGAGCCAGCCCTTGGAGAGCTTGCAGAGGAGTGGGCCGGAATAACGCGCCAGGGGATGAAAAGGGGATGCGCGGTATGCGAGTACAAAACACGTCAGGAGACCCCAGTATTCTGCGAAGACGATAATGACTGCGGTTGTCACGCTGCTGAAGTGATCTTGCAAAGCGAAGGCGAGCGTCGCAGGGACACCACCGAGCATGAGAAGCGCCGGTACCGGCTTCGAGGGCTCATACCGCTTGAAAATTAGATAAGAAACCTAGTGCATTTGAGATCAGCTCTCAATATCCAATGTTCAACGATCGAGTAAATCTTGTCTTACCAGGCTGGTTGCGGCGATAACTAGCTTGGGGTCCTGTGAAACCTGATGAAAAGTGAGAGAAGGCATGGTTCGCAGGAAGAACCACGTCTCTCGACGACCAGCGCCGCCTTTATATGAAGCACACTCTTCCCGATATCATTTGTCGCAACAAGCGCTGATCGGCGTACAAGGAGGACTGCGGATGGAGCTGTAGGTTTGCGAGATCGTGGGCATGCCGTACAGGTGCCACAGGCGTTTGCGCACTTCAGGCTTTTCAGCACCTCGGAAGGCCTGCTCAAGGAAACTCCATGGTACGCCGAGATTGAAAGATGTGCTTGCGACCTGAACGACGGCTGTACAACGCTAGCTTTCCAGAGGTTGAGCGTGGGATCGTTAAAGTTGGCAATGAGACTTTGAACGAGACAGTCCGCGTGAGAATGGAGTCAAGACGCTGCGACTTGTAACAGTTCTGGGCGGCAGCTGGGCCAGACATATGTCTCACAAGTGAATGTCAGATCTATACCATCCCTGAACCCCCTTTGATAATGGTTTCACGTATTTCGTCCGTCCCTGTGGGCTCACTCAACATTTGCCTCCACAAAGCAGATATACAAGTGCAACAAACCTCATAGTATCGACATTTATTTTGCGATTTAAATTCTGAGAGATGGGTGCATAGGAGGTGTTGCGGCGAGACAGCTCGGCCGTGGACCAGTGTTGATACAGTAATTTCTGTCACGGTTTGTCACAAGTGATGCCGATCAAGCCCGTGTCTCCCGACGGCTACAGCTGAGCGTTGACCGTGCGTCCGTACATTTGGGCTGAGAGTGAGGACAAGGTGTGGGTTCGAGCGAAACAAGTCAGTACTTAACAAAATTAGTCGTGCGCGTTGCAAGTCTTCTGAATGCATGTCTCGACACCGTCGCCGTCTGAAAGTTGGAGAAAGTCAGGCAGGGCTGACATAACGGGATATTGGCTCTCGGAGGGGTGCATGAGCCGTGTCAGGCCGTCTCCGAGCACTTGACCATCGACATCCGATGTCGATGAGGCAGCATGCATGGTCTGCAAATGCTGCTCTCCAAGAGCCAACAGGCGCTAGCGCAATGCCGGTCTTGCCGAAAGCAGAGACTGAACACAGCCATAGCGAGGCAGATTTCCTGTAACGCTATGGCAAACTTGCGCATAGCATAGCAGCTACGGGGCACAAAGCGTATCGTGCACATCATTTAAAGTATCTATACGAAGCATAGAAGGCTCACAAGACTCTATAAACACATTGGCTCGGGAGATCTGGTGTGATCTAGCCATCAATGAGCGCTCTGACGTCCATCTAGTGTATTGCACGGAATGTTCAAAGTTCCTTTCGCTCAGCCTCTGGTATTTTGCCTTGATTTTTACTCTGTAGTATTCGTAGTAGTTTATACTACCTAAATAAATAATCCCGATCTCAACAAGAAAGCGTAGCCATGGGGGAATGCAAATTATCAACACTGTCGCGTTTATCAAACGTGGTACAGGGACAGTATTGAGCCATGGGCATCGATTTCCATTAAGCGTCTAGCGCTGCCAACCCTATGGAAATGATGCGCCGCCTGGCCGCTCTCGGGAGCGTCTGAAGCCGACATTTTCCGGCGATTTCGAAGCCATGATACGAATGAGCCGCTCACCGCACCTCGAGCCTGAACCAGCCCGGCACAAGCTTCCAGAGCCTGTCGCGCTCGCGTACGGCCCACGCCTCGAGGCTGTACGCGCACGCCTTGCACTCGCTGAACTCGGCGCTCTTGAGCTGTCCGAGCTCCTCGGCGACGTAGAGCGGATCCGCGCAGCCCTGCTCGCGGTCGAAAAGGTAGTGCTTCGTCGCGAGCTCGATGAGCTCGGTAAAGTCCTTGCGGCATGCCGCGCCTGATACGCACACGCCGCGCCCAGTCCAGCGCCGGCGGTCGTTTCCATCGGCGGCGCCCCGTTTCTGCTCGTATGCCGGAAAGGAGCGCTGCGCCTGCGTGCTCATGGACTGGATGAGAGCCGGCACCGCCTGCGAAGAGGCCTCTTTGCCTAGGGCGAGCCGCTGTAAGTCTTCCATCGAGAGGCTGGTGTCGGGGTTGATGCAGCACAGAATGGCGCGCGTCTGCTCCTGCCCGGGGTCGAAAATTTGAGAGAAGTGGTACCTTGACAGGTCGTAGAATCCAGCGGGAAGCAGACTCGGGGCGTACACTTCTTGTGCGAGAGTGATGATGTCCTGTACCACCTCTCAGCAGCATACTGGAGGGGAATGAACGATACACACAATTGGTGAAGGGTATCTTAGTCCGCGCGGCTGCCCGGTTTCGCTTTCAAAAACGCGAGCAATGTCTTCCCTGGTGTCCCAGCCTTTAAGAGAGGTCGGCCAAGCGATGGCAAGGTGGTCCAGAGCCCGCGTGCGAAGCGTGTCTATGAGGTACTTCGTCGCCAGACGCAAGATACCAGACACGACTCTGAAGTCCTCACGGTCGTTGTTGCCAAAGATTGGGCCATCATACAGGGCACGCAGCAGGTGCTCATAGTCCTCTGCGGTGTCCGAGACCTCGAGCACGGGGCAGCCATCCATGTATCGTTGGTCGTCCCCATTAACGGGGAACTGCGTCTCGCTTTGCGATTGGGACTCAGTGACGTTCTGGAGGTGTGGCGGTTGTGGCAGCGAGAAGAGGTCCCGAAAGAAGGTGCTGTGTCGGGACAGCTGCGACATATGCACACGAAAAAGAGTTGTTTCTGCCTGAATTATGATGGATCCGTCTACGAACCAAAGACTGTCGTGGCGAGTGTATGAAGCAGCGGAACCTTCGGAAGGTGAAGGCGAGGTTGGTGTGATTGGGTCATCTTCGTTAAATTTGGGAGTTGACATAACTTGTATAGTGCATCATTTAAGTGGTATCTATAGAGTGGCAAAGTCAGATAGTGCAGTAGTGGGATGGGGCCGCCAGATACCGACATCCAAATTCCGCCTGGGTGTGTACTTGTGTGTAGGGGATCCGAATCCTTCCGTACCTGACCCGTTTAAGCTGTTACTTGGTATCAAGTCTTCAAGGGTTATGGGTACAATATTGCCAGAGCCATCCATGCAGAGGTAGTCTCCGAAACCCAAGTGAAAGCAAGGCGAAAAGCGTAGCTCATATCCCTTTATACATCCTGAGTTACTCAACGATAAGTTAACGGACGTATGAAGCCGCGTACCTTCGCCGGCTCTCCTCGCAGCCTCGACCGTCGTAGTTAGAGCCAAGAGGCTGTTCTGATCCTGATTCGCCTTTCTGAGGGGCTGCCGGAAGATGCCGAGCGCTACGCAAGGCGGAGCTCGGGCAACAAGCGCCCGGAAAGCCTCTCTCTTCGCCGCGGATATCCAGCAGCGTCCGCCATATCAATAGCCAGCCTCTTTCTGGCCGTCTTCAGCAGTACAAGCCCGACACAATGGACGACTACCTTGATATGCTCCTTCCGTTGCCCATCGGCCTGCTTCCTCCGCCGTTCAGTACCTTGCTCTAGACCACGACGGCTGGTGTTTCCTGCACCGATGGCTAACTCTCACTGGCCCCTATGGACGGTCAGCGTTGCTAGGGAAGAGCTTTAAAGGGCGGACTGAAACGAAGCTTTCGTCTGGTAACCGCTTTCGACCCGTTCGTTATCTCGCTCTCGACGCTTTCGGTGCCTGTCGGCCCCTACTCGCTTTCTCTTATTCGCATAATCTATGGACGGCATACAAAAGTCTAAATTCTGGTTCGCTGACGGCAACATCGTCATCATAGCTGGTCCCGTAGCGTTCAAGGTCCACCGCGGGCAGCTCGAACGGCACTCTGAAATCTTCCACGATCTCTTCTCTATCCCCCAGCCGGCAGAGCAGGAGCTCATAGATGGATGTCCTTGTGTCGAGTTGCATGATCCACCTCAGGACGTGCTATATCTTCTGATGGCGCTGTACGACGGACTGTGAGTGTATCTTTCTGCTAGTCTTGCTCCAACTCTCACATTCACCAGTTACTTCGACAAATCGTCTGTGGGAAACTTCCCTATTATCGCTGCGGTGCTCCGCCTCTCCACGAAATACGTCATTGAACATCTCCGGCAGCGATGTCTCGTCCATCTGGGTGCCGATTGGCCTTCGACCCTGGAAGGATGGGACGCCCGCGAGAATGCTGCCATTGACAAGCACGGGACATACTCTCCCCGCGACACCTGTGCGCACCCTACCCTGGTCATCCAGCTCGCTACCGCGCTCGATCTCCGCCACTTGCTGCTTGCCGCCTACTACGACCTCTCGCGCTACGGCCCACGGCGCATCATCTCGGGCGCCCCCGTCCCCTCGCCCTCGCCCGTTCCGAGCAAGGACGAACGCGCGGTGGTATACCTCGAGCGGCACGAGCTGCAGATGGTCCTTCTGGGGCGCGAGGCGGGGCAGCGCTTCCTGTCGGCGTTCATCGAGACCGAGCTGACGAACCGGCCGGTCGCGGCGCAGTGCACGAACCGGCACCACGACGCGGGGCGCGTGTGCCGCGAGTCGACATACTACGTGATGCTCAACGTGCTGCGCGCCGTCGGCGGCGTCACGCACGGGCGCGACGCAGATGTACTCTTCACGCTCACCCAGACGGTCGACATGCTCTCCCGCACGGACTTCACCGACGGCGTCCGCCGGTGCGGGCTCAAGATCTGCGCGGCGTGCAAGGAGGACCTCGCGGCGTGCGTCGCCAAGGCGCGCCAGCATGTGTGGCACCTCATCCCGCAGTGGTTTGGACTCGAAGCGGGCCCCGTCAGCCCTGGTTTGGCTGGTGGTCTGGACACGTTGGATTAAACTCGTGCTTTGCGCGCGCATATATATTCTACCATACCTACAGTATAATACGTAGTCTCTCCTCGATTGTTTAATTACCCCCTTTAATGCCTAATATCACTTCGTCTTCCTATTCGCAAGTACTCGAACGTGCCTGCGAACGCTGTGCGAACTCTGTGTCCGCGAACTCTGGGCGTGCTTCTTTCCCACGATCTCGCGTGCCTCATGGCCATCGTTTCGCATGCACGGGCCTCCCGCACCCACTGCCCCCGCCTCACGACTACGACGACGACGACGGGCCTGACCGCGCCTTGGGAGGCCCCACGACGACGAGCTGCTCTCGCCTTTTCTCCTAGCGACCCATAATGTCGGCGCTGTTCCACTCGCCCCTCGCGCTCCGGCTCGGCTTCGCTTTCACCGCGTTCACCACCGTCTGCCTGCTGTACACGACGCTCCGCGCAACCTACGGCGGGGCGTTCTACCCGGCCCCACGGTGCGTGGCGCATCCTCTACCCTGTATCGTTTGAACCTCTTTTGAGACAAGCGGCTTGGCGGGCGGCAGCAGCGGCGCGACCGTGCATGTCGTCATGTTCCAGTACGCACCCGACGTGTCCGCCGCGACGCGGCAGCACGTCGCGGCCGCGTTCCTCGCGCTCCAGGACGCGTGCCGCCTCCCTGGCTCCGGTGCGCGGTACATCCAGTCCATCGACGGCGGGCTCAACACCTCGCCCGAGGGACACACGAAGGGCATGGAGGTGCGCACGCCGGTCCGCCGTTTCTCTCTCGCTTTCACTGACGATGTTCCCCATCCCCCTCTCCCTCCCCCCTCTCTCCCCCTACCTGCCGACATGTATGCGTGTGTATATGCGCGCAACGCAACACAGCACGCGTACGTGCTCACCTTCCGCTCCGCGCACGAGCGCGACTACTACCTCGACGCCGACCCCGCGCACCAGGCCTTCAAGGCGTCCATCGCCGACAAGGTCTCCGACGCCGTCGTGTTCGACTTTGAGAGCGGCGACTTTGCGCGCCGCGCCCGAGCGCGCAGGCGGCGGCCGAGCGACGAGCTGCACGTGCGCACGGTCTGACGGCGGGCAGGGGAAAGAGGCGGGGCGGATGGTGTAAAAACCGTTTTTAAAATTATTTTATTTGGGGGTGTGCTGTATCTCACTGGGTTTGAGACCGACGTGCCTGGTGCGCGGGATGCTTGAGGGCGTGCAAGTATACGGTCTGCGTTCGAGCCACCGCCGAGTCTCCACGAGAACCGCGCCTCTCGCGCAGATATGCTCCCGTGTTGGGCCTCTTCGGTAGCGACCGGTCAACTGCGCTAATCTGGTATTTTCGTTTGTCTCTGCAACAGAAGTAGTTGCTTTCTCGCTGAGTATAAGGCGGTGATCTTAAGCTTAGTATGATCTTTGGGTCACAGACACTGCGTCGCATGCAAGATCGGCCCGCCTTCAGCTCAACGACACCCTGCCAACCGTGTTTTCCACCAGAGTCAATATCGTTGCTCAGAGAATAGATGCACGCGTGCAGATGTCTCGTATATGGCGCATGTCAACATGCCTTGGGCAAATCACGGTTTGGGGTTTCCGCCGAATTAAATTGAGTAGTCGATGCACCAAGATGGGGATGTACAAAACTTGCACGATAATCAGAGCAATAATCACAGACGTGTGAAGAAAACGAAAGCCGTCCAACGAGAGGGAGGATGGCAATGATACGGTGTCAGGCAGCGGCGACTGCGCGCGCGCGCGATATCGGTTGTGAGGGTATGCGGGTAGGGTTTATGATTTCCAGATGAGGATCGCGAGCTGGCCGATGTAGAAGTAGATGAAGTGCTTCGTCTCTGCGGGTACAAGTCCGCCAGTCAGCAAAAGTAGAAGCGGAGTGGCGTGTACACAGCGGCGATACGACGTGTGGGACGCGTCGGCGCCAACGCCAGGCAACAAGGGTGCACGCCGTGCAGACAAAGCGGAACGCACCATGTGTGACGTAGCTGCCAAAGTTCTTGCCGACGACAACGTGCCAGGTTGGGCCGTGGCGTCGGTCGAACTCCTTTTTGATCTGGGCGGCGATGTCCTTTTCGATGTTGTACTTTTCGAGCGCGACGGACGCGACGTCGACGGCCTCCTGCTGCATCTCCTCGCTCATGTCGACGTTCTTGATGACGGCCTTGGGGCCGGCGCCGTTGATGACGGATGGCTCGGACGAGGTCGGGGCGTCGAGTTTCTCGGACATGGTGAGCGAGTCGCGTGTGAGATTAAAGCTGGTGGCGGGATGTGAGCGTGCAGTGTTCTGGTGTGAATTGGTAAGGAGAACGAGAGGAAGCGTACAGAGGTATATAAGAGACCGTATGCCGCCTTCAGGACGAAACGAGGGAAAGGTATGTCCGGTGAGGTGAGGTCCAATTATGAGCAGCAACCGCGAGGAAACACAGCAAAATGTCTGACACGTGGCTTCAATTCCCGTCGCTCGATTCGGCAGGTCCTGTGTCTCCTCTCGTCCTCGTGCTCGAAAGTGTGCGGCATGCGCCACGCGGTGTGGGGTGGGACATGCACACTGCGTGCCGCAGCGGGCATCCTTCCAGACGAGAGTCAGCGCAACGGCGTTGCCGCAGTGCTCCGCGTCCAGGGTCGGGGCGGCACGTTACTCGACATGTCCTCCAGTCCGAAGACGACGACGTTCTCGTGCACATTTACCTTCGCTTCTTGTGCACAGGCCGGTGCTCGTCTGACTGGTAACACATGATAGCTTCCCAGGAGTCACATTTACCTTTTACCTCAGAACTTCTTCGCGCTGCCATGCCAGCGTCTGCGGATTCACCCTCCCAACGTTGATCAAGCGCGATAGGTCTGTGCGACTGCATGGCGTGCAACATGAGGCGGACGGGTGATGTAACATCGTATGCGATGATCGTATGCGATGATCAAGACCACCTGTGTCGTGTATGCAGACGTTATGTGGCTCCTATTCTTCTGCAGAGGTCATGCAGACAGGGCCTTCACCGTGCAACCAGACCTATTGATGTACAAGCAGCTTACAGCCCGTCTCGGCGCAGTGAGTGGTCATATATGAACGAGATCTTCCCTGCCATCTGTTGCAGTAACAGCAGATGCTCGCTGTCTGCAAGATGCTAACCAGCCGTCTTTCGAGCCTGGGTCGGCTTATTGAGCAGGCCAAGATCCTTAAGCTATAAGTAACTGATAAGCGTTATCACAGGCGTCTATCAAGCCATATTGTTACGTGCTGTAACCAACCCCGATTAGTCTCGGTTCCAGACTCTCAGCTCGCTATTGGGGGCTTTCGGAGTTTAAAAATTCCTATGCACATTACAAATGGTTTGTTACCACTGTACCCTCCCGCTTGTGCTTTGAATCTTCTGAACGAGATCAGTACAACCAAGCTCCCGTGGTCAATCGCGTCGGAGGTTCTTGTCGGGCTACTGCCACAGTCACGGATATAAAATACAATTGAAACACGGGTTCTCTACTGATACAACAGTGTCCATGATTGATGCAGGAAACTCTAACGGTACAATGACAGTCCGCAATCACAATGTAAATAAGGGGCACAAGTCTTCAAAGTATCATATCTTCCAAGCTGTAGCCGACCTCCACATGCAGCACGCCCTTCTGATGCAACACAGGCATCTGTCTCCGCAAGTACTCTTCGTCTTCTGGTTCCAGCGCCCACTCGCTGTCGTGTGCGGTGCCGATCCTCAGTAAGCGCAGGTTGTCAAAGTGCGACAGGGTGCGTTGCAGCCAGTCCCAGTCGAGGTCGAGGCTCTCGAGCGAGAGCTGGTCCTCCCACATGTCGGTGAACAGACGTATCGTGAGCTCCTGCGTCGCCGGAGGGAGCTGCTTGAGCGCGAGGAAGAGGCACTCCCACGCGTCCACGATGTGCGACGGCTCGTACATGCCGTGCTCCGCCATGTACAGCTCTTCGGCAGGGACGACGAACTCGGCCGAGCGCAGGCCCGTGCACTCCTGGAGGCCGTCGCCAAGGATGCCCGCCACCAACTCTGCACCTACGCCAACAAAAACAAAAAACAATCAGCCACGATCAAACAGCCTCACCCGAGCGAGAAAAAAAAACTTACAAGGCGAGATAATCACCTCGTCCGCGTCCTCGTCGTAGTACTCGAGGCGGAAGCAGTGCGCGAGGTCGACCACGACCCGCTGGAGCGCCACGCCCGCCCCGCGCGCGAGTTCCGCGAGCGCCGCCGCGTCGTCGCCCTCCGTGACCTCCGCCTCAAGTGCACGCAGCGTGCCCGGCGCGCAAAGCACGTGTAAATACTGCGCGGCGCCCGGCGCGTTCTCGAGGCGGAGCGCGCCGACGCGGGTGCGTGCCGCACAGGGCGGTGGTGAAGGCGGAGACGTCCACGCGTGCGCCGGGACGCCCGCGAGGTGCAGGAAGCCGACGTCCGCGAAGAGCGCGAGCACGCGCAGCAACAGGTCGTGTGCCGTGATGTCGTCCGCGCACGCGCTGCCGACGTCCATGAGTGTCAGTGTCTGGATGATGCGCGGTGTGTGTGGCGGCAGCGGCAGGTCTGGCGACGGGGACAGAGGTGGCGCGTGCAGCGAGAGGTGGTGCAGCTGTAGCTCGCGCAGGCACGGAAGTAGCGCGAGGATGTCGGCGAGGAGGAGGGGCGAGAGCGTGGGCCGCTGCGCACGCGGGGTGTCGACGTCCATAGGCCCGTCGACGGCCTCTTCGGCCTCTTCTGTCTCGTCGGCGTCGTAGGCGGGGCCCTGCAGCACGAGCTTGCGCACGTAGGGCCGCAGATGCGGCGTGTTCTCGAGGTGTGCGCGCAGGCCGTCAAAGTCGGTTTCGACGCGGACCTGGCCGAACTTGTGCACGCGGCAGCGCGGAAGCCAGGTGCGCGCGACGAGGGATGCCGCGGAGAGCGCCGCCTTGTCGTTCCACAGCTGGTCGATGACCATGTCAGTGAGCTCTGCGGGCAGCCGGGGGAGCGTGTTCTTCAGCAATGTCATTGTGCCTAATTACTCGTCACGAAGGCGATCTGCGGGGTGGCGATACTGGTAGTTGGAGAGCACAGCTTGGTGGGGGAGTCGATGGACTTCTTACCTTGCCATCTCCACTGCCAATTTATACTGCGTCCAGTGGCACAGTAACAATTGCGAGGGAACAACGGCCCCTTCCGACAATTGTCACTCCCTGGGCCGCTCTGCACCGAACTGAGTCCGGAGACAATTGCCTTTTGGCGCCTACCCTGAACAAAGTTTGCCCGGCCAAGGGCGCCAGGGTCAGAACGCACCGGTGAGGCGTCGTCATCGGGACAGAGCCATTGCAAAGGGCCACATGCTATGCAACGGCGTGGCGAACGTCCCATTGACAGCTGCAACAATCGGCAGTCGAGCCACGGTTGTTGCGGGGCGGGAGTCTCATGGGGCGGTCGACATGGTGAGGGTCGAGCTCATGCGAGGCTGTATGTCGGAGCACGCGGTCGCGCGGACAGAGCGATATTAAGGCCGTGCACATCGAAGAGCGGGAGACACAGTGACGATCGTAGCGACACGGAGCAGCTTGTGATTTCGAGACATGGAACAGAGCGTACCGCCTGCGTGCTTAATTGCATCATCAATTCCTCGAGATTCCTCGGCGGCCGTCGCTGATGCTGTGCTCGACTTGACAGTGATGATCTGGAAAAAGGAGAAAAGATCGACCCGCCTGGGCATGCCGCTGCAACAGACGTCACAAAGTGCTCACCTGCTACATGTCATCCATCCCGCACTCGTCAGTTCTCCTCCGCAAGGCTTGCCTGGAAGATTTCGCATGCACAGCCGGGAGCACGCATGAATAGGACTCATGTGAGACGTATAGCATAATCCCGGCAAACTCGGTCTATCCGGGGAAAGCGGCGACTGATACAACTGGGCAGATTTACATTGTTGTAAAACAGAGGAAGACAAACCATCAAGACCATCTATACGCATGAGAAAAACCGAAGCGTTGTGAACCTACTAGGAAGATACGACTAATAATGCAGCGACAACACGGATGATCCAACAGGGAAGGACAAAAGTGACCAGAAGGTGGGTGGCGATGGGTGGCGGGGGGACAAAAGTGCACAACGGAGGTCGAGAAGAGACATCTAATAGGGCGCTTCACGCCTCGACGAAAACCGCAAGGCCCGCCGCGCGTACCTTGTCGGGCACCTCGCGGTACAGTGTTGCGAGCAGACCGAGGAGCTCCCCGCGTATCTCGTCGCCAATCTGGTCCGGCGCGTTCGGGTCGAGGACGCACGCAAACAGCGAGAGGAGCTTGTCCAGGTACGGCTGCAGCACCTGCGGCTGCGTCTTGAACAGCGCGAAGATTGTCCGGAACAGCGGCCGGTTCTCGAGCTGGTCTTGCGTGAGCGGCACCGCCCCGAAGAGCACCGGCAGCACTCGGTCGAGTGGCACCGCCGCCACGCTCTTGTAGATCATCCGCGAGACTGCGCCGACGGCGTTGTCGCGCGCGTTCACTTGCGCAGGCGGCGCATCTGCAGGAACGCTGAACAACGGCTGGAAGGCGGACAGGAGGTGGAGGTATTGCGGCGAGAGGTCCATCTGCGAGTGCTCGACGAGCAAGCCCGCCGCGAACGCAGCATTCGTCTGTACCTCGGCGTCAGGATCTGAGAGCGCGCGATAGAAGAGCTCGAGCAGCGTCTCGGTGTGTGGGGTGACCGCCTCTTTCATGCCTGCGATGATCTCGGACAAGGCACCAATGGCGGATGACCTGTCGCTGAGCGACCGTGTCTTTTTCTGTAGGTACGAAGAAAGTTAGCCCGACGCCACAGCATACGCTAGCAGGGATGACACACGTAGTATTTTGAGATGAGACTGAAGAAGGTCCCGAACGCCTGCGCAAAGTCGGCGCCAAGGACATTTGCCAGTGCAGCGACTAGGTCTCCAGCGGCCGAGACGAGGATCGAGTCGTACTCGGCGGTGTCTTCCGGCGCTTCCTCGTCCTCGTCTTGATCAGGGTCCTGCTGGCACATAGCTTTGCCATCAAGGACCTGGACGGCGATATTGGCAATGCGCTCGAGGCGACCCTCGAGGATGCCGGGGCCAACCTTGTTGATGGTCTCAGCCAGACCCATGCACAGGCTCGCGACAACTTTCCTAGAGAAGGGTAGACATGTCAACAACGATTCAAGACAAGTGTATGAGAGGGTGAAATAATCAGTTAAAGATTCGCGTTAGTCTCATGCACCCATTGGATGTCGAAGTGAGCTGAGTTTACGAAATTTCTCATCAAAGGACGCAGTAGCGCCGGCGGAGTAAATGCGGATAATTGGCACTCACTTGTTATCCTCGGCCTCGTACATCTCGAACATTGGCGGCAGGACGTGCTCGATAAGGTCCTTAACTTGCTGATCGAGCGGAACAGGAACAGCCTGCCCGGGCTGCCACTCGGGCGGGTTGCTAATCTCATAGAACGAGCGGATGATCTCGAGCAAGGACTCCGTCGCCGCCTTGCGAATGCCGTCATAATAGTGCTGCAGCTGAGCGGCGAGCTCGATCGTGCTCTCCTCGACGAACGCCAGGTACTGCGCGCCCGTCGCCGCAAAGAGCGCACCAATCGTGTCCGCGGCAATTTCCTTCTCGATGCAGATCGTGCTGTTCACGTCGAGCAGCCTGTCGATGTCGACGTCTATGTCCTCGCCGTCAAAGTTTTCGACCGAGATCGCCGTCGCCGCCGTGCTGCCCGACGCGAAGCTCGCCGCTGCGTCCGAGGGGACGATCTCCTCGTCTCCGTGCTCGGCCTGCTTCAGGGACGCAAAGAGCGCCGGGACTACCTGGGGAAGGTACGGCGCGAACTCCTCCTCGAACACGCGCGCCATGACGCCGAAGAAGAGGAACGAGCACTCCTTGAGGCGCGCGCTGCCGAGCTCGATGCCCGCGAATGCTTGCTGCATCATGCTCGCAAAATAGGGGCCGAACTCTTCTTTGCCGACGGCATCGGCAAAGGTGCCAATCGCGTCCATGGTGATGCCACGCAGTTCCTGCTCCTCGCCTTCGCCCGTGAGCACGAGGAAGTGCTGGAAGCGGTTCATGGTCTGCGCAAAGTACGGCAGAAACTTTTCCTTGGACGCGTGTGCCGCGCTGCCAATGGCACCGACAATGACAGACTTGACAGGGATAGGTGCGGTCTCGAGCAATCCTGCGAGACGCTCCATAATGAGGGCAAGGTACTGATCTATGGACTCGGCCAAGATTTCCAGGACGGCATCGAGAGCCGCGCAGGCAGTGCGCTGGGTGGCAGGATCGTTGACAAGCTCCATGATCGTCTGCAAATATCGGTCAGAGATGTCGCATGAGCACAGGCATATCCGCTACTTACAGGAACGAGAATAGCGTGCTTTTGAGCACAGTCCTCCTCGAGCCACTCGCACAAGCAGGTCACTGCAACGCACGATGCCTTGCGGACGCTGGCATCGGAGTCGCGGAGACCGGTCTCAATCAGTGGCCAGACCTGGCTCATCAGCGGCGTCATATACTCGCTGCAGCCCTCGACAGCGACCCCGAGCGCAAGCATGGCACCGCGGCGGCTTGCTGGATCGCTAGACGCGAAGTAGTTGCGGATGAGGAGGCTGAGAGGGGGGAAGACCTGGCTCGGCGGCAGGCTGGTGGCAAGACCATCAATGATGCGCAGAGCCGAGCGTGAGGTCGCGTCCTCATCGATATCTTCGGGCTCATCTTCGCAGGCGATGGGAAGAAGACCCTCGAGGACGGCACCGGCGAGGTTGTGGCTCTGGACCTTGGACTTCTTGTACTGAACAGTCCAGTTGAGAGCGTTGAGGGAGAGAATACGGAGCTCGCTGTCGTAATTGCGGTTGCCTCCACAAGTGAGCAGAAACTGGGCAAGCTGAGGTATGTGTTGACCAAGAAGGGGAATCTCCTGCAAGGTGATATTCACGTGAAAACATCGTCCAAGCCCATTGGCAGAATACGCACAAGGATGAGGAGGGTTTCAAGTACATCAAAGAGCTGACGAGCACCTTGCTCGTTGCTCGCCTCTACGCACTGGCCGATAACATTAATCATGGAAGGAAGAAGACGCTGGAAGGATTTCTGAAAAGATGACGTGAGTCATCAGCGGGTAGAAGATACGCGCACGACTCACGATATCATCTTTATCGTCTGCATCGATGTACTGAGCAACAACACCTAGCGACCGCACGGCGGTAATTCTGACCTCAAGGCTCTCTGGGTCGGCAATGAGCTGCTCGAAAAGACGGAAGAGGCTCTGCATGTGCGATTCAAAGCCTTCAACGATGTTCTCAAGGACAGTGAAGAGGATATATGACCCGACTTCGCGATACGCAACATTTGTCGAGGTGCAGGTTTGTTCGAGGAAGGGCATGAGCTCAGTCCACTGGCCGAGTGGGATCTCGATACTCGCGATAGCGGCAACAACGCGTGCTGATGAGTGACGCACAAGCTTGCTAGTGAGAGGACATGCGAGGTCAACGTTACGAGGTGAGATGAGATGAGTGTATACGCACTTGGGCTCATTGAGGATGAGCTCCGGCATCTTCTGCTTAATCTGTTCACGCTCTGGAGCATTGACCTGCAACCACATATCGCCGCTATTCTGTGATATCCGCTTGCGCAGCTCGACAGCCGCGAGTTGGCGAACCTGACATGGGAACATGAGATTGAGGCAAGTGGTACAGAACGAAAGCCACTGACCGACTGCTCGGGCGAGCTCGCGATGATGGTCGCGAGAGCCGGGATGCATGTTGGGTTCTTGTAGAATTCTTTGTTGAGCTGTGAGGTCGCCTGAGCTCAAAGATGTAAGTAAAATTTTAGCGCATACACGAGGATCGATGTGCGTACAGCTTTGAGCTGAATCGTGTCGGGAGAAGTGGACTGAACCAGCAGGGTGTGGAGAGCCTGGACGAAATTTTGCTGCAAGATCGTTAAGACAATATTCTACTTGCGAAAACATATCAGATCGTACGTACGTCCATGGCTGGGGGTCGTGAAGTCGTGAAAGAAAAGTAGGCGAAAGGGAAAAGGAAAGAGCAGAGGTCGAATTTGAAGGCCGGCGCTTGCAAAATTTTGGGCTGGGTCGCATTCACGTGAGCAATGAATGGGTCGCGGCTGGGCGGCGTGAGAATCCCGCCCATTCCCTAAAGAAGGAAACCCCGAGCGCCATGCCACGAAAGGCCTCTGCAGTCCACCACCTCGCTGCTCGCCATAGACGTCTCATTTCGCGTCTGCTTGATCTCATTCAACGGTGTGCTGAAGTATAGATGGCACTTCCTGGCTTCAGGCTGGCCAGAGGCCTCCGTTTAGTACAACCACTGCGTTCCGCGACGTTCCGCGCACCAGCTCGGAGCGCTTCGACCTCGACAGTCCGTCCGGCAAATCCTGTGCGGACAAGCCTGTATGCTACTGTTCTACTTGTGTCTACCGGTCTTTTTGCAGTTTATTACTTTGACTCTCGATCGGCGATACATCGTTATGTCTCCACCCCGCTGCTTAGGCAACTGTTCGACGCCGAGACCGGCCATAAGATTGCAGTGAAGGTTCTCAGGAGTGGGCTGGCACCGAAGGATACTCAGCAGGACGATGAGGCGCTGAAGTTCGAGGTACGTGGCTGTATTGTCGCGCGCATCCTGTCGACTGAAAACGTTATTCGAGCGTAGCTCTGGGGCAGGCAATTGTCGAATCCTGTGGGTTTGGCTGCTGGTTTCGATAAGAACGGAGAAGCTGTAGACGGTATGCACGTTTTGAGCTCTTCTCCAACACCCTCTAAACCTCCACAGGTCTGTTCAACCTCGGATTCAGCTGGGTTGAGATTGGAAGCGTCACACCCAAGCCCCAGGTGAGCCCGACTCCGTCTGCGGTGCCCCAGACCCAGCACACGCCCGGCTGACACGGTTCACTGACTGCAGCATGCCCCACCCATCTAGCCCGGTAATCCGCAGCCCCGCGTGTTCCACCTCCCGGCCGACCTCGCGCTCATCAACCGCTACGGCTTCCCCTCGGACGGACACACAATGGTGCTCAACCGCCTGCAGGACCGTCTCCCGCTGTTCCACGAGTACGACGGAGACGTGCCGGCATCGCTTCGTCACGGCGCGCTGCTTGCCGTGAACCTCGGCAAGAACAAGTCTTCACCGCCAGATTCGATCAAGGACTTCGTTACTGGCGTGCACGCGTTCGCGCCGTACGCGGACGTGCTTGTCGTCAACGTGTCAAGTCCAAATACTCCCGGTCTGAGGTCGGTACCGAAATCCTTGTCGTCGGGCCGCTTTTTTGACGCCGGGTTGTAGGGGCATGCAAAGCCGAACTCTGCTACAGGAGCTGCTGGCAGGAGTCGCGCAGGCTCGCGACGAAGTGGCGACATCGTACACACCGACACGGAAGCCCAAGATCTTGCTGAAAATCGCTCCTGATCTCACGACCGAGGAGGTTGCCGATATCGCAGCTGCGGTGCGCAAGAGCGGCGTCGACGGCGTCATCGTGAGCAACACCACAGTGCAGCGACCGTCCTCGCTACACGATGGCGAGTCCTATTCCTGCACGTGGTGCAAGTGCAAATGCTGACACGGTGACTCCTTGCAGCGAACCGCGTTGAGACCGGTGGACTGTCCGGGCTGCCGCTGAAACCGTACACACTCGCGACGCTTTGCGCGCTGCGACCACTGCTGCCTGCATCGGTGCCTATCTTTGGGTGTGGCGGGATCAACACAGGCGCGGACGCCCTCGAGTACGCACGCGAGGGCTGCACGGCAGTGCAGCTGTACACGGGCTTCGGGTACGACGGCGTCGGTGCGCCGCGGCGCATCAAGGACGAGCTCGCGGCGCTCCTGAAAGCTGAAGGCACGACGTGGTCCGCGGTCGTTCGCAAGGCCGTTGAGGAGAAAAGCTGGAAGGAGCCGCCGCTGCCGGAACCTGTTCGTCCGGAGGAAGTTACGGTGCAGCAGCTCGTCGCAGAAGCGGAGGAGCTGAAGAAGCTCTTGGATGAGTTTGCGAATGAGGAGAAGAGGGGCCCAGGTAGCGAGGAAATGTCGTTGATGACTAGTGCATGAGTAAAACATCTCGATGAAAGCTGGATATTTTAAATGTTAGTCTTTCGGGAGCGCAACACAAACTCGTGCGCCGTCCTGTTATTCTTTGCAGCATTTCTGCTTCCGCTCATTCATTCATGTCGACGGTGCAAAGGCCACGTCCAATATTCAAATGTTTAACGTTCAACATCTTAACTTTCCGGATCTCCAGCGTCCAACCAGTGCTCGTTGTTTGCGCGGCGGCCAGGCGGCGCATCATTTCCACTTATGCCCTGTTCAATAACACCCGAGTTTCCAAACTCGCGCGGGTTGATGCAGTTGATGAGTGAAACGGTCTACGAGGCGTCTAGCGCGTCTCGCCGAGTTGCCGTGAATCATGACGACCCCGCATACACGACATGCACCAACAATGTCCTGGGCGTGTAAGATACGTCCCGAGTCGCCAACGGCCATATCTAAAGCGACCCAACATACATTACATGCACCGTCTGTGCCTCTCGGCATTAGGTCTGCAATACTAAGTTGCTTATAAGTTCAAGTCCGGGCCCGACAACTGCCACATCTGCGCCTGTCGACTCTGTCTTCTTGACCACTATATTCCCCGCCGCGAACAGAACTCCCTACATTAAAAATGCTTGCGGCAATGCAAGCAAGGCCACACGAACACATGTGCTGGCCCTCAGGAGCTTTCACTGCTTGCCTTTACTAGTAAAGGCAAGCAGTGAAAGCTTTGAATCCGGCACTTTATGCTTCCTCGGTTGCTCAGCACGAGCCAGAAGGACAACTTTAGCTCTCGCTATGACCAGTGTCGATAGGATACAGCAGTGGCTTATCCACAGACGATGGTTGTCTTATTGCATAAGCGTAATTGTGACATGTGCGGGTGACGGCGCGGTGAATGGGCCGACAGTGCCGGAAGTCGCGCGGGTTCAGAAACTCGGCGAGTTTCAAAACTCAGGTGTTTGGCAGCGGTAGGCGCTTAATAGCAATCAACGCCCACATGGCTTAATGTAGATCTGACGTCCACTTGTGAGACAAATGCAAGACAAGTATAATATAATGCCTGGCCCAGCTGCCGCCCAGAATCGTCGCAAGTCGCCGCATCTTGTCCTCCAACCATCAACTACCCGCCATGTCCAGCTCAGCTGCAGTTTCTACGTCTGGCTCGCAGCATCCGCCGTGCGTGCGCTCTTTCTATATCATGCATAATAGCTGACTCCGGGGCGCAACAGAGGCACAATCGTGCACCTCATCACTTTGAAGTACGCGCCTCATGTGTCTGAAGAGGCGAAGCAGGACACTGCGGCGGACTTTCTGGCACTCAAAGACAAATGCCGCCTGCCTGACGGTACGACATACATTCAGTCCTTCGATGGAGGGCCGAACAATTCGCCCATAGGGCTCGAAAAGGGCATGGAGGTACGTTGTCCTACTCGCCCTGCATATCTGTCGCTCACAGCACCGCAGTATGCGTTCGTGCTCACGTTCAAGTCTGGCGAGGCGCGCGACTATTACGAGGCCGAGGATCCTGCGCACCAGGCGTTCAAGGCGGTGATCCTGCCTAACATTTCCGACATATCTGTATTCGACTTTGAGACCGGAGCCTTCGCACGACGCACACTGGGGTGAAGAGCTTAGCTGAATGACGCGCCACATATTAGATGTCTAACAAAGCTATGATACTGTTGATGTATCCGGCATGATGAGTTTCTCTGTCTTTAGAGCTGAGGAGCATCGAAGTTGACCAGGCCGGCTATCATTTCTACTCGCTATCTTCTGGTTCATGTCTGTATGTTTTTTTTACCCAAGTAACTATGTCGCGAGAGACGCAGTTAGCCGCTGCCATCTTGCTTATGTTTTATGGTTTTCTATGGCAGCAATGTTGACCGTTGACGAAGGACGTACCGGCTCAGGCCCAGGGGCGAGGCCGTTTGGATAGGATATCACGTGGTTAAGTAACTCCGTGGGAGCTGTGGGTCCACCGTGACGCTTGATCGCCAACATATCGCCGAACTACTCTCATCGACTCCTGAGACAGAAGACATTGTTAGCCAAGTGACGTGCAGGTGTACGCTGTATGGCAGGCGTTTCATTCGCGTCATTAATCTTGCCAATACTCCCTGACTTTATATCTGTATACGCTTCGGCAACGCAAGACTGCCCGGGCCACAAGGCTTGGTGCTTATCAGCCCAACACCGACGATTATACAAACTCTACGATGTCGAATCCTGATCTAAAGGGGTCGAAATCACTTGTTGTCAACACGGATGATGTATCCCCACCGGCACACTCGCGGCTAGAAAGCGGTAGTTCACTGTACAGCAGTACTTCTTTGATCGAAGTCCTACCTGAAGGTATCGATGTCGAAGAGGAAGCTCGACTTTACGAAGAGCTTTGCGACGTAATTACAAGTCTTTACTCCGCCTATCGCGTTCAGAGCTGACTGATGTCAAGTCCCCCATAGAACCCGCCTCCGACTCGGAGCTCTCTGGGTCAAATCCCCGAACTCGTCGGCGCCGTTCTCGGCCAGAGTCCATCATATCACACGAACCTTCCATTTGGCTCTCCGACAATACTGGACCACAGTCGCCAACGCTGACCTTCGCGCGCGACGTGCAAATCACAGGTTGGACGATGGTCGGCGATAAAGTCTCGGGCGGCGCGTACGTCGTTTTTGATTGCGCGATCCACCTCAAGGATGGGACGGTCGTGCACGCGCACAAAAGGTACAGCGCTTTCGCGGAGTTGTACCAGGACCTGAGGGAGTCGCTGCCGCTGCGTATGCGGAACACCGTGCCGAGGCTGCCACCGAAGAGCCCGTTGTCCAAGTTCCGTGCGGCGTTTCTCGACAAGAGGCGACGTGACCTGCAACACTGGCTTGCATCGGTGATTCTCCATCCCGACCTAGGCGGTCGGGAGGTTGTGCGGCTGTGGGTTATGGAGTCGTCGTAGCAGCGCTTGGGTAAGACCCCAGCGCTCAACATTGAACGGTAAATCTTTGTGCTCTGAAGCATCTCCAGAAATTGACTGACTATCTGCAGTACTAGGCTTTTCGCGAGTCCTGTCTACTGGTTTGTCTGTGGGTAGCACTTCATGCTATGTGATTTTTATTTCGCTTTCTGTTCCCGCTGCAATCACCTTGAATTCGCGTTATATTGTTGCACCGCCCGGTGCCCCTCAACTCAGAGCTACTTGACAACATATACCGGACCGGACAACGTATGATCCTCTTTTTACCCGCTATGTTCAGTTGAATATTCGGATATTCTGATCCATAACGGTACTCCTGGTCTTCCCTTTCGTGACAGTCTTTCTCACACGTATCACACTCACCAGCAGTGGCTCCTCTAGCAAGCTATCAAATTTCTTGAAGTGATCATCGAACAAAACTAAGCGTGCGCAACGACAACGCCGTTTGGGACTCGCACCACGTCTTCCCGCTTCCTGTCACACGGTTCCAGCATGGCAGTGACTTATGCACATTAAAGCGGGTCGCGGCAGGGCTACGCGAGGGAGTGGGCGGACTCGGCAGGCGCCGGCACGGTACGTGTGTTTAAAATCCGCCGGTCTAGTATTTCTGTAGGACCCAACGATAGTGCGAACCGTGATAGTGTCTCTCTTTGCGCGTGAAAGCCGTTACGAGCGGTAGAGCTATAGCTGAAGGTGAACGTGGTACATACTAGGTTGTTGCGTGGAAAGACGGAAACATTGTAGATCTCCTGACTAAACAAGCCAGAACACCCCGACAGCTGCCACAGTGCGGCGCCGACGACGCGTAACTGGTCTACATGACCGCTAAGGTAAGTACAGAGAGTAAAAATTGAGAAGATTCTGACCCAGGGCCTCGCCCTCGTTCTACAGAAGTTACTCAAACTGTAGCCCTGCCGAGATGTCAATCCCGCGTCACTCACGCCGCGCTGCCACCTCGTCTCTGGCCCGACTCGCCGTCCGCGATTAACGAGGTCCATTTACTAAGCTGCGCGTGCTCTCATTCAAACCGCACAGCTGTCACGTCATGCGCCCCATACAGTTAGTACCGTTCTTCTCGAGCTCCCTGGAGATTACCACGACGCCGGTTTTCTCTCTCACTCTTCCCCAGAAACGGTGATACGTTGGGGCAAATTGCGAAATTTGACTGATATTCTACGAGTCCAGAAGCATGTTCCAATCCCAATAGCAGCACCGACACACCGCCCGTGACTAGCGGCCCATTGATCTGTGGTAGCTTCCGTTGCTGGTCGCTAACGAAGCTCTGGGGCCGAACACGGGGGTGACTAAGCCTAGGAAAATGCGGTGGGGCCGACGGCTATGTTCGGCTGATGGCGACATTGTTTTTCTTTGAAGTCTGATGGGCCAACTGATGCCTCTAACTAGGATGCTGTGCCGGAGCGGTGCCCCACCCAAACTCG